AAAAAATATGTTGACGCACACTTGCACTTAAGAATTAACTATATGATTTGTCTAGTTTGGTTTCTGTGGTAAATCTATAATTACTAACTTTTTTGTTTGGTCAAACGCCATATAGTAATTGGTCATTAATTTATCTTTTCTTCTCAGATAAAGCTCTGTCATAAAACAAATTACTTCTGTATCTACTCTCAAATTCTCAGGCATCGGCATCCTGGTTGATATGCAGTTCAGTTTTTTTTTTTCGTGTTCCTTTAAGATCACTAATTAAAATGTGTGCTGAAATTTGTTTGCAAATGACAAGTGGGTGATAGGACGCTTTTAATTCTATTGGTATTTGTGAACAGCGGTGTAGTCTGCATTACTGGTTATTGATCACATGCTAGAGATTGACAGTCCATCCGCCTGTGCAAATCTGTATTTCAGTTCATCCAGTTGCGCTTGGACCCAGCAAGCAGCAGCACCCTTCCGGCCAGTGGAAATGGTTCAATTACGCAAAGCCTCAGTGTCACTAATAATCAACATGGGCAGGTATTTGACAGTATGCCTGTCAGAGGGGAATATGACTTATTTTCTGGTTTTCTTTGACTACTGGTAGTTTCTTTATAAGCTTGAAAGAGCCTAAGTAATTTTAACTCATTTTTTGCATGGTCCTGAAAGTATTATAGATCTCATCCGTGTGCCAAAGATAACTGCTTCTAACATGTTTCCCACTTATATGGTGTATCCCGTACAGCCACTGATCTGTCATTTGGTTATACTTCAGTTCTTAAAGAAGATTTTTTACACCTACTGATTAATGTTCATTCCATCATGCGTCTATCAACAGTGAAACATAGATTTGTTCAAAAAGGAAAACAAAATATATGGAGATAATGCTAGGTGCAGCATGCTGTGTCCCTGAATTCATAAATGGCCACATGGGTCATTTGCTGATTTGCACACCACATGTGGGTAGTTGTCAGTTAGAATATTCTTGCATCTCTGGATGATCCATCAGTTTTATTGGAACTTGCTAATCCTACTCGATCCATTACTAGGGCGTCCTATAGTCAGCCTAATGATTCTTTCTGCAGACTTGAATTATGTTGTGAACTTGCGAGTTTGTGGTTATCTTTTGTTTTCTTGCGATTTATATAGTGCGTGGTTTTGAATTGCCTGCCTCACAGAAACCACTTGCGATGCGGATCCGGATTTCGTACAAAGTGAACGGCGAGGAGAGGCTGGAGCAAGGGCAAATCAGCAATTTCCCCGCCGGGTTGTAGTGCCACCTGTGTCTATAATGTTGTGATAGTAGCTCTTTCGTTTTGAGTGTGCTGCTCTGCTGGCAAAGGCGAGTTTTCCTTTTCTAGCCCTCCCATCATCATTTCTTCCCCTTGTGCTGCTTTTTTCCGATCACTAGTAAGTTATGTACACTAGTAGCTGGTTTTTGCTATTTACCCTTTACCTATACTGTATAGTAGCTTGCAGCGATTAATGACAACACACCTCCAGTTTTGGCAAAATGTATTCATACAAAGCTGTATATCATTCACAGTCGGAGGATAACCAAAATTTCCGGCCTCCCGCTCATTCACAGTCGGCAGCAGACCAGTGTCTTGTATTTACACCATGATGTTTGTTCTTCAATGTAATTACCTGTTTTCGTCTAACCGAACTCGTGGGTTCAGAATATCTTGCATACATGATACATGGCCCTTCACCCAACCATCTGTCAGGGAGGATTTTACATTTGCACAGCATTTGCCAACCCCATTTGAAATTCGAAACCCAACCGGTTTTGTTCGGTGGAAGCCAGGTTGGTACGGTGCATAGCTATTCAGGTGCATCTTACACCTTTATTACAGACTTTTTCATCATCATCATGATTATTTTTACGAAAATCCTTGGCCATGTGAGCATCTGGAACGGCAACTGATCTAGCTTTGCACATACGACCCATATGAAAAAAGTGTGTGGGTGGCTGGGTGCGCTCCATAAATGTGATGTGATCGGGCTGTGAAAGTTGGTGCCGCGTCCGGGCCATGTATGAATGCATGATCCCTCCATCAACGTCAGTGTCAGGCCGGTTGCACGCTTCAATGCGATCGATTGATCGCATCAGCATTCAGTTCCGTTCAGCGCCACTCCGGGATACCAGCTGCTTCCGCCAGTACTCCTACCGGGCGTTCAGGAGAGGCAGGAGCCCTTCACCCTCGCTCGTCACCTCGCATTTCCATCTTTGCCTGTCTGCCCGTATCCGTATGCAATGGTGCTGTGCAGCGGTGCGTTTGTCAGGCCAACTCCAGCGCAAGACCCTATCCAGACGTCCGCTTTGTCCGGATTTTGTCTGTTTGGGATAGCAATGAGTGTCAAAATAGACATGCGTGTCCGGCTAAAGTTGCAGGCGCCCAATGCTGCAGGCGACCCCAATTTGTCCGCCTCCACTACGCCCACCATGTCCTCGCGCCTGCCGCGCCCAGAGCCTGCGCCGCCTCGCCAGCAGCAAGCAGCCGCAGCCCCGCCGCAAGCTCGTGCCCCCCGCAGCGTGCCAGTGCCCTGCCCGCGCCTGCCCCGTGCACGGCCGCGCGCCACTTCGCCTGCCGCTCGCCCCGCCCCGGTCCG